CCCTCTGTGGCTGCCACTTCCCAGCCAGTCTGTGACCCACTAGCCCTGGAGTAAGGAAGGGGAAGATCCCAGGACTTCCTGTCACTTTCCAAAGGCTGCCATCCACTCGAAGGGCCATGATGGGAACAGACGGAAATTCTTTATGCATTTTGATAAGAAACGGCAGCTCCCAGTCAAGGAGGGGTACACACAGATTCAGCCAGCCTTCCCGTCGCTGGCCCACCCCACTCCTTCTGTCTGCCCCGCATGGAGGCACTGGCTGGCAGAAGCACCCTGTCCTCTAGTCCTGGCACTGGCCCAAACTCAGTCTCGAGAGGGCTCGGCTTACAGAGTGTCCGCCCCACCCACCACGCCAGCCTGTTTGGGCAGGTCCCAACTAGAAGCCTAGCCTGGGGACAGGATGGCAGCGTGGCAGGGCCCCTAGTCACTGGTGGTCCTGAGCCCACAGCAGGAAGAGAGGGTGGGGACTGGGTGCGACGGGTGCTTGGTGACCAGTGCACACTCCTGTCCCCATGGCTCAGGCTGCTCCCGACACCAAGGGGGACGGCAAGGAGGAGGGAGTCTGGGGGTGTGGGCGCCAGCTGCTTTCGCACAAGGGCGAATGTGAAACACGTGCACGCACACACACACTCACACACACACTCACAGCCAGAAGGTCTCTTGTAGTAAACGTATTAGAACCGACTGCCTTCTGATAACCCTTCGCCTGGCACTCCACGGTAACAATGTGGCTGACTCTTCTTTCATTTAAAAAAAGGCTATTAGAAAAGAGGTCTATAAAATTGTGCAAAATACCCAGCATTAACAAACCCGTTTCAAGTATTGCCAGCATGAGCTTCGCCTGCCCACCCCCACCCCTCCCGGGAGAAGGGTCAGCAGAGATTCCTTGGAGAGGCCACTGGGCAGGGGAAGGACAAGACCCCACTTCCTCCTGTGCTGCCCAGGCATCGTAAAGGAGCTGAGGTTTGGGGTGCCAGTTGGCTGGTCCCTCTTCTCTGACATAGGCTGCTCCCGTAACCCTGTCATCTCTGCCGGAACTCCAGCTCTGTCCTATTGTCCAACTCAATAAAAAAAAAAAAGCCCACCAAAACACCCAGCAGGAAAGACCAACGCCCATCACGAGGGGTACAAGAGCCGCCTGGAGCCACGGAGGCTCTTCCCTAGGCCTGTCCAGCGTGCTGCTCACTGGCCCAGGAGGCCCAGGCCAGATCCCCACACGGAGGCCGCACGCTGCGTTCACACCCTCACTCACACAGGGCTAACCCTGGCACAGGAGGGCTCTTGGCATGGTCCACATAGTGGCTCTCTGTCACTCATGCCGCTGATGAGCTGGCGGACCTTTGGCCCAAGGCTGTGGGAACCCAGGTTTAGGGAACAGAGGGGCGCAGCCACAGGACAGCTTGGGGACAGCCGCACAGGGCAGGAAATAAATACGAAAAGACTGGAGTCTCCGGCAGCTCCAGCTCTGCTGCCCTCGGATGGCTGGGGAGGGTCCACAGGGGCGGAGGACGGCAGGTGAGCGCAGAGGGGCAGACAGGCCAGCGGTGGCAAGTACCGAGCCCACTCAGGGGTGGCCTCCTACCATGCTGGCATCAGGCTTGGCTCTGCAGGCCGGCTCATTGCTTCCGATGGGCGAGGGCAGCACGGTGTCAGACTGCACAAACCCCCTCCGGTCGATGAGGCTTCCAAAACACAAGGTGGATGGACGTGAGGGCTCTGCCCAGCACCCTGGCTGCAGACCGGGGCCGCATGGCAGAGCCCATCTCCTCGCCAAGGTGACCTACTGCTGGAAAGGCTGCGGGAGGGAGCCACTCCCCATCTGAGGTGGCGAGCCATCCCGTCAGGAAGGCCACTTCCTGCCCTCTGGGCACCTGGTTTTTGGCCAGTTTATCCACTGCTCTCGCCACGGCCCACCGGCCTGCTGGCTGCCAGGAAGCCAGGCTGCCGGTGAGGGAAGGCAAGGCTGGGCAGACTTGTGGGGGCAGCCAAGGGTCCTACTGTCCCACCCTGGGCAGAAGAGGTGACTGGGGGACCCTGGTAGGGGTTGCAAAGGACTGGGGGAGTCTCAGCCCTGCAGGGGCCACAGCAGTTTGATTCCTTTTCTGGCCTCTGGCGCTCCCTGGTGTCCAGGCGAGTGGGCACACCCCGCAGGGCTGGGGCTCCCTCCCTGTGAGGGAGGACAGAGGGCCCACCCAGGCCAGAAGGGCAGCGTGGCTGAAGCTGGCCCCACGCGGACTGCGGTCACCACTGGGCAGGAGTCACCCGGCTGCTGAAATAGCTAACACTCCTCTTTATATTTTGTACTTCTTTTTTTTTTCTCTACAGCAGACATATGCTTACACATGAAAATCACAGAATCCCTTGAATGATGCCCCAGGCCAGCGCGGTGGCCTCTCCCCTGCGCGGGCTTACCTGGGAGGTAGGGGGCCGCAGAGCACAGCACAGCAGTTGGTGATGACGCTCTTATGGCTGTAGGGGTTGACAGAGGCCTCGCCGCCCCTCTTGCTGGACCAGGAGCCTTTGATCTGGAGCAGGAAGGACCCCTAGGTCACGCACCTCCTTTGGCTTCACTTTCCCAGGAAGGAGGTAAAGGCTGGGAAAAGCCAGCCAATTCTGAAACCAATTCTGGTTAGCCTACGGGAGGGCACGTGTCTCTAATGGGGGCCACCGCTGGATGCGGGGGGTGGAGCAGAGATTAGGAGGATCCAACCAGGACACAGGGCAGAGCAGTGCCAGGGGGCTCTCCGGAGGGAACTTCGAGGGTGCTCCCCCAGCTGCCCCGAGGCAGAGGCTTAGGCAGGCCTTCCTCTCACTGGCTACAGACCCTGGCCAGGTCGTCACTTCTCCAAGTCTCAGTCCTCATTTAGAAAATAAGGACAACGGGGCCAGCAGTGGCATGGTAATTAAGGCACTGGGTCCCCCATGGCCTACTATGGTTCAATCCTGGACCCAGCGGCTTGAAACACACAGGGTACGAGTGCGTGCATGTCCAAAGTCCCAGGAGAATGGAGGAGAAGGGATTGCGGAGTGGCCATCCTTCCTAGGGGGTGATTTTTCACTTTCCCTCTCACTGACTCTCTCTGGCGAGCACACACCTAAAAAACCTAAACTAAATAAACCAGAAAAATATGGCCAATAATACAAATTCTGAAATAGTGTTGCCGGGGCGTTAGACAAAACTCTGACCCATCTCGAGCTCTCCAAAGCCAGCTGCTGAAGGCCCGGGGAGCTCCGAAGTGCACCCCCGCTGGACTGTAACCTGGAGTCCCCCAGGTCTATGTGGCCGGACACCCCTTTGCTGACCCCTGCTGACATCCTGCAGTTCACCCCCAGGAGGGCAGGGCACACGTTAGGAGTCGCGGGCTGACCATTTCTGTCGGTCACCCTGCTCGGAACGCCCCACTGCGTGTGCTAAACATGGCTTCTCCAGGTGAGGCTGAGGGACCGACGCACCTGCTGCTGGGCGACAGGGCTCGGATCAAACGGGCGCGGGAGCCTTGGGCAGAGGCTCTCATCTCAGTTCCCCTGTTTAGAGGCTGAGGAGGGGAGGTCAGCCTGGCCCAGGACTGGCCCACAGCAAGTTCCCCAGTCCTGCTTGTTGCTGGCAGCGCGGAAGGCCGCTGCAGGAAGAGTCCTGGAGCCCCACCGCCCGCCTGGCCCCCTGCCTCCGTAAGGGTGCTTCAGGGAGCCCCAGGCCACCCTGAGAACAGCTCGGCTCTCCTGCCTTCGGCAGCAGCACGGGAACCTGACAGGCAGCCATGACTTCCACCACCAGCCTCCTCACCCATCCCAGCTGTGTGACCCTGGGGCAACCCTCTCAGCGTCAGAGAAACAGAGGTCCTGGCCCTCCTGCCTCGGGCTGGGCAAAGGCCCACAGAGCTGAAAGAGCGCTCCGCAGGGGCGAAAAGCAGGCCGGATGTGGGGAAGGTACAGTGTGAGTGCTGCCTCTTGGGGACCTGGAGTCTGTTAAGGGTCTCCTAGGATCCAGCCATGAGCACGGCAGAGGCCCAGCTCCACCAGCCAGTCCCATGGCTGCCCTGTCCCGCTCCCTGAGCTCTGCCACTCCCCAAGGCCGCCTCCCCCGAGGCCCTGTCCAGGACGGCCGCTCCTCACTCACGTCCTCGTTGGTTGTCAGGTTGGAGGCGACGAGGTAAGTGTGAAACCCTGAGAGGCCCAGGATGGACCAGATGGAGAAGAAGCAGATGGCCAGCTCCAGCACGGTGAGGGCAGTCAAGGACCACACGGGCAGCGGCCGGGCACCGCACCTGGCCCCGCTTCCCCTCCTGCCCCTCCCCGGCACGCTGCCCAGGGCCCAGCCACTGCTTCCCAGCAGGATGGCCCCCTAGGCCCTAGGGAGGGCTTGGGAGCCCCCCTGAGAGCAAGACGAGATCATGGCGACTTGGCAGAGGGCTCCCGAACACAAGGATCCGTGGGCACGACAGGGAGCGTGGCACCTTAAAGGGATAGTCGGCTCCAGGCCCTGAAGACAGGCCCGTGCCTTCCGCCAGCTCCCAACTGCTGGCCCACTGCCCCAGTGCCCCACCAATGAGGCTCCAGCCTGGGCATGGACAGACACAGCAAGGCTGGGGGCTCCCGGACCAAGGTGGGCTCGACACTTTCCCCCTCGGTGGGCAGGACGGGGTGGGGGTTTGTACCCCTGGGGCGCCGCTGGCCGACAAAGGATATCTTGCTGGTGTCTCCTTCAGAGTGGAGAGGAAGTTGCTTCCCTGAGAACCTGGGAGGAAGAAATAGGACAGGTGCTGCTCCAGGGCCACAGCCACAGACCCAGGCCCGGCTGAGCTCCGGGCTCACCCTCCCCGCCCGGTGCCCCAACTCACGCAGCGTCAGGTGGGTGACCACGCAGGCGAAGATGAAGGCCGTCAGGAACGAGAGGGAGAGGATGAATGCGTAGAAGAAGCGGTAGTTCCGTCTGCCCACACAGTTGCCCACCCAGGGGCAGTGATGGTCAAACCGCTCTGGGAAAGGGCGGGATGGGGTTAGTGCTGGCCAGGCCCCACTGCCCTACCCTCACCGCCATACCAGCCGACCCCACCCCTGCACGCAGGCCCCCTCCACTCCACATGCCCTACCCTCCTGCCCTGGCCACAGACCAGCCGCTGACCCCCGGCCCTTGCTCTGACTAGAGGCCTGGGACGGGGCTGGGTGGGCCGTTACGCAGTGGCAGAGGGCTGAGCTCACACCAGCCCCATGTCCTGGGGCGGGTCACACCCAGACTGCTGAGGACACTCTGTGGGAATGTGGGTCACAAGCCTGTCGCTGCAGGCCTTACACCAAGGCTAGCGCCCTTTGCAGGGGCAGGCGGGGCTGATCCTGAGGGAAGGGCACCACTGAGTCACCCACTCGGGCCTGCCGTCATGGGGTGTTCCCGCTGTCCTCAGGGCGTGCTGAGCCAGCACCGTGAGCTCACTGCGGCTCCGCTCACCTGGGCCTGCACACGGAGCCCTCCCTCTGTGCACCCTCCCGGGACACCCTGGGGACCAAACTGCCACTCAGGCTGGGGCTCAGGACCCTCACTTCCCAGCCAGGCTGCAACATGTCCACCTCAGCCGCTTCCACTCCCTTGTTCCCAGACCCTGGGCCACCGGATGGGGAATCATTCTCTGGCCTGAAAGTATCTGGACTTCCTGCTCCAGTTCTGGGTTCCTGGGAACGTGACCTACTGAAGGGAGGCTGAGACCTGGAGGAGGTGCAAGGCCCCTGTGTGTCCGCCCCGCATCTGAGTGGCGGAGCAGTGACGTAGCCTTTCCGGCCGGAGCTACAGCACCGCCAGACACACGCACAGCCCTCCCGCCCAGACTCCTCAGGGCGAATCTGGGTGACCTTGCAGGCCCTACCCCTGGCACAGAGTGGGGCACCCGCTGCCCCAGGGGCAGCCTCCTCTGCCCCCACTCACCCACGCAGTTGTCACAGACGCTGCAGTGCGAGGTCCGGGGTGGCCGGAACATCTTGCAGGTGAAGCAGTACTTCAACTTCACCACCTGCCCGTTGATCACCACCTCCCGGGTCCGAGGGGGCGGCCGGTATGTAGAACTGCCCGTGTTGTCTGAGGGTGAGAGGAAGGGAAGGTGGGGGCGCTCAGTGCAGTGCAGGGCCAGGACAGGGCAGGTCACAGGGAAACTGCTTCCCTGGAACCAACGGCAGGGTAGGCAGGGCCAGGGACTAGAGCTCTGCGACATGTGGGGACTCCCACGTGCCCGGCACCGCTGGAGCTTCAATCCCGCTCACGCCCCGCTGGCCGGGCGCCACTCAGGAGGCTGCAGGAGAGCTGAGTGAGGCTTCACTGCACCCAACCAAGCGGGGCCACTTCCCCTTCACAGGCGGTTCAGGAGATGGAGGGACAGAGCAAAGGACACCGTGGGACACGGTTCGATCTGGTAGGACCTCTACAGGACCACTGGCCTGACTGCTAGCCAAAGACAAGATCACTATAAAGAGAGAGTGAGTCCTGAATTAAAGAAGTTTAAGAGAATCAAATACTACACACCATCCTTAAGTGGATCATGTTTGAAAACAAAATAAAACAAACAGAACAAAAAGACATTTGGAGGTCAGCTGGGAAAATCTGGCTATAATTATTGTTTAGAGTTTTTTTAAAAATTATTTTACCTAACATACATTTATTTATTTATTTATTTACTTACTTATTTATTTAATTTGACCACAGAGGAACAGAGAGAGAGAGAGAGAGAGAAAGAAAGCAAGCCACTCGGTCTAGAACCCAAACCATAGTCGGCCACATGGGAGTCCAGCACCCTCAACCACCATGCCAACCTGCTGATCTGACTGAGCTTTTTGCTATCAGGAACATGTGCTCCAGAGAGACAGAAAGAGAAATCACCTGGGGGTGGGGGGGGCGATGGCTACACCACAATACCTTCTCCATTTTCCTCTTGGGGTCTTGGGCACACATGCACAAGCAACTGCAGTTGACCATGTGGGAGTCCAGCGACGTAACCATTACGCCATCTGCTGGCCCCTAATCCTTCTATAAACTGAAAACTAGGGAACTGCTGGGACAGCAGGTGGCGTGGTAGTTAAGGCTACTGGACCCTACATGATGGACTCCACAGTTCAGGTCTTGGACTCGGTAGCTTGGAAAACATCAGTGTGTGTGTGCCCCAAATCCGAGAATGGAGAAGGGATTGCAGTGTGGCCGTTTCCCTGAGACAGTGATTTCTTACTTTCTCTCTTTCTTTCTCTCTCAACACACATACCCCAAAGGGAAAAAAAAGGGAACGATTCGTTTTCCTAGGCATGGAAATGGAACTGTGGTTAGGTAGGAGATGCCCTTAGATTTTTGAAGTTAAGCGCTGAGGTATTTATGGGTAAAGTGTCTATGATGTCTAAGTCTACTGTAAAATGTTTTAGTGAGAATAAAAAATATATCTAAATGACACAAATAAGATACACTATTAACAACCATTGGATTGGGCCAGTGGGTGGTGTGGTGGTTAAGAATGCTGGACTCCCACATGGGTGACCTTGGTTCGAGCCTTGGACCTGGTGGCTTGCTTTCTCACTTCACTCTTTTCCTCTCTGTCTCTGTCTGATTGAATTTTAAAATAACAGTAAATAAAAACGTTAATAAAGGGAACCAGCAGTTAGCGTAATGGCTATGTCGCTGGACTCCCACGTAGTCGACCGCGGTTCGCATCCTGGACCCGGTGGCTTAAGACTCACGCCGGGCGCGTGTGTGTGCGTGCCCAAGATCCCGAGAGGAGAATGGAGGAGAAGGGATTGCGGCATGACCATCCCCCCGGGGGGTGATTTCTCGC